TTAAATAAAAAAGCTGCTCTACAAAGTTCAATTGTCATCTGCAATTCACAGTTCCAAACCATAAATGGGGAAATAAGAAAAGAAAAATTGTGATGGTCTCAACACGATGCGGTGCCAATCAAGCAGACTGCATTATCCTGGATGGTGTCAAGCTTCTTGAGTATTGTTTGAGCTGCTCTCATCCAGCAAGTGTTGGATATATACTCCTGACTTGTGCCTTGTAGATAGTGGACAGGCTTTGGGAAGTAAGAAGGTGCATTTTTGCTGTAAGTTTCTTAACTTTCTACTTTCTGTCAAAGCCATGTTTTTATATGGCTAGTCCAGTTCAGTTTCTGGCAATTGATAACTCCCAAACATTGATTTAGGAGATCCGACGATGGTCATGGCATTGAATGTCAGGGAGCAATGGTTAGATTCATTCCTGTTGGAGATGGTCATTGCTTGGCAATGTGATGCGAATATTACTTGTAACTTTTCAGCCCAAGCCTGGATATTATCCAAATCCTTCTGCATTTGGGGATGGACTGCTTCGGTAAATGAGGAGTCACGAATAGTGCTGACCATTGGGCAATCATCTGTGGGAACATCCCCACTTCTGATCTTATGAAAGAAGGAAGGTTATTGATGAAACAGTTGAAGATGATTGGGGCTAGGACACTACCCTGAGGAACTCCTGCAGAGCTAGAACTGAGATGACTGACCTTCAACAACCACAACTATCTTCTATGTGCCACATATGACTGTAACCAGTGGGAAGTTCTCCCCTGATACCCATTAACTCCAGGTTTGCCTGAGATCCTTGATTCCACACTTGGTCAAATCATAGAATCATAGAATCCCTACAGTGTGGAAACAGGCCCTTTGGCCCAACAAGTCCACACCGACTCTTGGAGCATCCCACCCAGATCCATCCCCCTAATCTATACATCCCTGAACACTACAGGCAATTCAGCATGGCCAATCCACCTAGCCTGCATATCTTTGGATTGTTTGAAACCTTGATGTCAAAGGCTATTGCTCTCACTTCCTGTGGCATTCACTTCCTTTGTCCATGTTTGTAATGAGGCCATGAGCTGAGTGGCCCTGTGGAACCCATACTGAGGAACTCTGAGCAGGTTATTGCTGAGCAGGTGCTGCTTGAAAGCGCTGTTGATGACGCCTTCCATCATTTTACTGATGATCGAGAGGAGACTGATGAGGCGGTAATTGGCCAGGTTGGATTTGTCCTGTTTTTTGTGTACAGGACACACCCAGGCAAGTTTCCACATTGTCAGGAAGATGCCAGTGTTATAACTATACTGCTTGGCTGACCAACTCAACCCTGACCATGTGGAAAATTGCCCAGGTACTTCTCTCTCTATCCTAACATTGAAGCAAAAACCCCCCATTCCTGAAACCTCTTTCTCACTAGTTACTCTTTACATGTCAATCAAAAATGACACAGGATCTTTGACATTTGCCAGCTTGAGACCTCAGTTCAATATATCATCCAAAAGGTGGCATATCCTGCTAAAATCAATTCCTAAATTATGGACAGAGACCTGGATAGGAATTATAACCCATTAAGCTGATCCTGTACAAGGAGCAGAGACAGTTGGGAACACTTAACACTGCAGCAAATCTCCGTCCACAGAATCTGGGTTAATTGTCTCAGGTTCAATGAACTTTCACCAGTTTGGTGTCTAATACTGTACAATCACAGAATCTCACAGTGCAGCAGGAGGTCATTCAGCCCATCCTTTCTCCTACGTCATTGAGATATGCTTGTGCCATTGGGTCAAGGAGAAAGTGACAAATATTGCCAGATCCTAATTACTTTCTTTTAAAAAAAATGTTTGAGCATTCATGGGTCGTAGGCACCTCTATTGCCCACTGCCAATTCACCAGTGGGCAGTTAAGAGCTAACTAAGCCACTGTGGGCTTGGAGTCACATGTATCCTGGACATGGCAGGGAAGGACAGCAGTTTCCACCTCCGAGGGCATTAGTGAACCAGATGACTACTTACATTAATCAACAGCAGTTACTTGATTCCAAGTTTGTATTGAATTCAAACTTTACTGTCTGTCCTGGCAAGATTCATGCCCATGTCCACAAGGAATTAGCCCAGGTTGCTGAGGTACTAACCCAATGGCATTGCCACTTCACCACCATTGCCCCATTGCAAGCCAACTAACAACCATGAAACACCGGGAGCCTTCTTCCTGCTGGGAAGAGTGGACCTTTCAAGACATCACCCCTTCGCTACTAACTCTCCAACACAACACACACACGTAGATCACATACACACACACGCACATATATATGCATACATGCACACATACATACATACATCTCACACACACACACACACACATGAACATACACATGCTCACTCACATACACAGATATAGTCATAGAGTCATAGAGGTTTACAGCATGGAAACAGGCGCTTCGGCCCAACTTGTCCATGCTGCCCAGTTTTCACAATTAAACTTGTCCCATTTGCCTGTGTTTGCTCCATATTCCTCCATACCTATCCCATCCATGTGCCTGTCTAAGTGTTTCTTAAAAGACAAAATTGTACTCGCTTCTACCACTACCTCTGTCAGCCCATTCCAGACAATCACCACCCTGTGTGTGAAACAATTGCCCCTCTGGACCCTTTTGTATCTCTCCCCTCTCACCTTAAACCTATGCCCTTTAGTTTTAGATTCCCTTACCATGGGGAAATACTGTTGGTTGTCTACATTATCTATGCCTCTTATGATTTTATTTGACATCTATAAGGTCACCCCTCAGTCTCCTACACTCCAGGGAGAAAAGTCCCAGCCTATCCAGCCTTTCCTTATAACTCAAACCTTCCAGTCCAGGTAGCAATCTAGTAAATCTTTTCTGCACTCTTTCTAGTTGAACTGAGTCCTAGAGGGCACACATCACATACACGTACATGCACACATACACATACACACACGTAGACGCATATGTGCACATATGCACACACAGATCACATACATAGGTGTGCATATACACGCATACACACACACACAGATCACATACATGGGTGTGCACATACACGCATACACACACACCTAAGCAAACACACAGGCATCATATATATGCACATACACATACCAACACACATGCATGATACAGTTTGATTTGAGCAACTGCTTACACCATTCATCTAACATTACAGGGTGCATTCACATATCAATCCATGGCATGGTATAAGAGAGATTTGACACCATCTCCTTTGCAGTCTTCCTCACAATGGGGAAGGAAGACCACCCAATCTCCTTTGGCAGGACAAGAGTAACTTTTATCCTTGCAATAAGTTCGGGAGCCGCAGAGCTGCCTCTTTGTCTCTGTTCCTGGCACTGGAGCTGTTCAGAAATTGTTGCAGTGTGTCTTTAAAAGGCAAGAGACTGAGGGATAGAAAGATAGATAAATGATAGATAAGAAATTTAAAATAGAAAGACAAATGTGCACAGAAAAAAAAGATAAATGGATATTTCGACAGAGTAAATTATGGTTAGAAAGAAAGATATGGATGAATAGAGAGATAGAAAAACAAAGTGAATGATGATAGATTTAAAGGAACGATATATATTAACAGATATAAATAGAGAGGGATAGACATAAATATAAATAAACTACCGTAGATGCTGGAACTTTGAAATAAAAACAGAACGTGCTGGAGAAGGTAAAGAAGAGTCAAAGCAGATGGAAAACATTAACTCTCTTTCTTTCTCCACAGACACTGGCAAAAGCCTGCAACCACCAGAACTTTCTGTTCCTGTTTTAGATAAAAATAAAGATTGATAGATGGATAGATATTTAGATAAAGAGAAAAATTATTGGTAGATTGAAAGATTGAAAAATATAAATGAATATAAATAGATGCATTGAATGAGATAGATAGATTGATCGATAATCAAACAGACAGATAGTTAGACAGATAGATAGATAGATAGATAGACAAACAAATAGATAGATAGATAGATAGATAGATCTACAGATAGATAGAGATTTACAGATAGGTGGATAGATAGGTAGATGGATCTGCAGACACGTAGATTTTCGGGTAGTTAGATAGATTAGCAGATAGATGGATAGATGAATAGATAGATAAATAAGATAGACAAGATAGGATAGATAGATAGATAGGCAGGTAGATGGATAGATGGATAGTTAGATATAGATTTACAGACAGATAAATAGATATAGATTTAAAGATAGGTGGATAGATATAGATTTTCAGATAGTTAAATAGATATAGATTTAAAGGTAGATAGATATAGATTTACAGATAGATGGATAGGTAGATAAATAGGTAGATGGATGGGGGAATGAGGCAGGGTGTATATGGCAGAAACCTGCAGGATTCTCACTGCTCCTCTCTCTCAGACTTAGCAGTATCAGCACTGATCCAGCAGACGGAGAGGGCGAGCTATTGGCTGGCGTGTTTATAAATGTCTCCTCGCTTTTGTCCAATGGCAGAGAGCTGGCTGGGAGGGAGGGGAATAATACTGCCGGCTGTCCGCCTGGTCTTTTCCAGCTCCATGTCCTACTTCAGCTCTCTCTCTCTCTCCCTGTGTCTCCGTCAATGCAATGGGCAAAGGCAGGGGTTAAAGCGCTAACCACACACACACACACACACACACGTATACACGCACATACACACACACACACACACAAACTCCGTGCCTTGCTCCACACTCTTTTCCTGAGTGCCCCTGTGTCTGTCTGTGTGTGTGTGTGTGTATGTGTGTGTGTAGCTCTCTCTCTGTCTCTCTGCAACTCACCAGCGCTTGAGACGCTTCCATCTCAAGGTTAATACAAGGCGCAGGAAATTTGGAAGGGGCAGTTATCGGCGACCCATCCAATGTGTTCAGTTTGCAGGAAAGATCTCATCTTGGACCTGGAGGAAAGAGAAATCAAACACGCCAGAAAACTGGCCTTGAAGATCCAGAGAGGAGAAGCTTGGTGTATATGTCAACTCAAACTGGTCTCTAACTGATGCTGGTGCTGCGCCGTGTGGATTAATTCAGCTTTTTTTCTTGCATTTGGAAGACTCGTGAAGGGGAAAAGTCAGTTGAGAAAACAAAAAAAAATCTACAAACACTCGCCTGGCCAAAGGACTTTAGATAAATCCAGCGCCCGGGGTCTGTGTGAGCTGGCTTGTATTTGTCCCGGATTGGGGTAAGTGCTGGGGAAAACTAACATAGTGCCCTGATTTGTATTCGCCTCGGACAGGCACGGCTGCTGGGTGCGTTTGATCGGCGACTTTTCTTCTCAATGTAATGTTATAGATTTCATACAAACGGCTTGTTTTCTGTGATTGAATGTTTGACAAATTAAATGCAGCAAAAAGGTCTGGAAACCGTAGTTGTACGGGGACGGTGTGTGGATGTGAGTGTGTGTGTATGTGAATTTGTGTGTATGTAAGTCCTGTACAGTACGTGTATTAGTCTATGTATGTAATGTGTTTGCATGTGTGTATGTCTCCATGTATGTGTATCTCTACGTCTGTGTCTGTATATGTGTGTGTGTCTGTACATGTGTGTATGTCTGTACATGTGTGTGTATCTGTATATGTGTGTGTGTCTGTACATGTCTGTGTC